GGACAGACACTGAGTGCTTATCCACACTGTAAGGTAGGGACAGACACTGAGTGCTTATCCACACTGTAAGGTAGGGGCCCACTTCTGGTTCTAACTCTGAATAAAATACAGAAAGCAAACGAGAGCCCTGTACACTAACAGGCCAGATCTACAATTAGTTGCAGAAGCCAAAGCTCTTGCACCTTATTCTAAGGCCCCAAGTCAGTTAATTGGGTCTTCAATTAGCCTCTCGGGTTGTAATCAATTACAAGTGTAATTTCTGTGTGCGAGCGTATTTTGTGCAAAAGTAGTCTCAGCAAAACCAAAGCATGAGTTAGGGTCAGATTCGGATCTGTCGTGGCTCAGTTATAGGCACAGATGAGCGAAACCAAAGGCTTCGTGCGCTGCCAGTGTTTCCTCACCAGTTCCCACACGCCTTGGGGCAAAGTACGTCTCTATAATCTAGGAAGGTTTGTTTACTTTATTACTATTAAATTTTACTAGTTTTTTTTTTTAAAATCTTAGTTTCAGTTATGAAGTAATTATAATATTTCTCTTTCATATTACTATTTAGATGTGATGTTTCTTTACCACACACCAGTATTCAAACAGGAATTCCCACATTGGCGGGAATGTTTTACTACATTAGATCACTGGCTGTATTGCTCTACTTAAAAGGACTTAATAAAGCACTAATAGGTAATATTGAAATCCAGTGGGGTTTGCTGTTTGTCAAAACTCTACTAAGTCAGTGTAAACAAAATCCAGCCTCCTTCAGGAAACTGAACAGTCTAGGCAGAGGGAAACACGAAGCGAAGCCAGCAGCCAGCAAAGGCAAACACCAGCAGCAACTCATGTCTGAAGCGAACTTCCAGCACAAACTTCTGAATTTCCCCATGTCATTTTGGCACACCTATTTTACCACTGCATTTCAGACAACAGCTTTTCAGTTCCCCAATTCATAAATGTAATTAAATAATTACATTAGTGCTAATTAACATGAAACTGCAGATTATTTAAGCGCAAAAAACACTATTCAACTTCTTAATTATTCTTGTTCACACAGCATTTCCTTTTGCTCAGGCGCCCTAGGTGCAAATAAAACATCCCATCTGCTCGCAATTAGAACTAAATAATTTCAGAGAATGTAGCTTATCATTTTGACTGCACATTTGATTAAAAACAGTGTACAAGCAATATCCTGGCTTATTGGCGTAACAGCAACAACACACACAAGCCTGTGTTCTTCCATCATTAAAGAAGATCGAAAACATTATCTGTTATTTCAGGGGGAAAAATACAACTTTTTAGTTCATTTCATACAGATGAAAGCGAATTACAGCAAATCACCTCTCCACTGAATAGCAGCCCCCACATAATGACTTTATTTGCTTAATCCCCAAATTAAACGCCGTTTCGAGCGAGGGCCCTGTGTTATTACTCTCATCATGTCGAGAACATTTTCCTGCCGAGACCAATTTGAATAAAACAAGGGGCCTTCCTTGAACTCAATCAAGGAGCCATAATGTGGTGGGTAATAGAGGTTGCTGATAGATTTGCAGGCAAAAGTGTTATACCTAATGATGGGATATGGATAATAGTCCTCCTGGAGGTCCTGATGCGACTCCAGTTGGCTGCCAGATGCTGAAAAGCAAGAAGAGCATTGATCAGTGACAGGAAGCTGTAGTGGATTCATCTAGTCAAACTTCAGCTGTTTTTCCACTGTACAGTTAAGCCAGGCATAAATTATATTAATTGATTTAATTACATACTTAAAACATCTTCCCCAATTAATTTAATTAGGTGGCTACATGATGCTACTGGCAGGGGAAGATTAGAGGCAGCTCACTTAATTAACAGAATATGAATGAAAAAAAGAGAAAGCAAACATAAATGAAATTGTGAGCACTAATTAAAAGGCTGTCTGCAAACTTAAATACTTTCTGACAAAGTGGTGACAGCAATGTAGACAAGTGAGGATTTTTTCCTAGCAAATTAAAATGTCAGAAGGTATGCGTGTAGTATATATATACATATATATGTGTGGAGAAAAGGTAGTGCAGTTAGAACATTGACTTTCCAACACAACTCCCATAGTCAAAACAAAAAAAAAGCATTTTCTTTTCTTTTATAGAAAGATTGCAACAGATTTTTCAGGCATATAAGCCAGACTCTGGGTGAAGACTAAAATACGCTGCACAAACAATCACAGAGTCTGTGCATCTTATTCTGAGGAGACATATAATTGCAGGATTCTGGGTGGGAGGGTGGCTGGAGAGGGAAGGGAAGATAAAGAGACAGGTTATTGCAGTTGTTCAAGCAAGAAATGTTTAGAAAAAGAGGTCTGCTTTAACAGCTGGCAGCCTGGCGCACCTTGGCTCGAATTCGGAAATTCTCCAGGTGTCTCTGGCGAGATTCCTTCAGTATCTTCTTTAGTCTTGACTTGTGGCAATGTAAAAGCCACGCAAGGGCGATCACACCTGAGGCCCACTTCTTCTGGCGATAACCAATGAAGAATTTTCTCGCCTTAAAACATTTCCATGTGGCTTGGATCTTGATGGCAGCCTCCGTCTTCCCATCTTGGCCCTTGTACCTCTGTCCCGGAAGGTTTATCAGCATTTGGATGTGACCTGGGTTCTCTAACACTAACAGAACATCACTTCTGGTAAGTTTATTCTTCAGCTCAAATTCTGGAAGCAGGGACATCAAACTCTTCCCTTTTACTTTGGCTTCTGATATTGCATAGTCCTTGAGAAACTTCTCAATTTGTTCCAAGAGAGAAACAATACTTCCCCAGGCTAAGCTATAATGTGCCTTGAATGCTAAGAAGTCTGGGGCTGCCTTATCTATGGTGCCATCATAAATAACAAAGTCATAATCCCACGGTGATTTCAAAGTCTTAGATGGTGTAGTAACGATCAGGGCCTGGGAAAAGAAAGTTTACCAGAGGTGAAATATCCTATGATCCCTTTAAGAGTGTGATTGACACATATGTACTACCACTTCATCAATTACCAGTTAGTGATGGGAAAATATGGTTGCTAGAACTGATTTTACATATGTACATCAGGATGTCAAAGTAATGTCATTAAGGATATCTTAGTGATCATGAGATGCTATTAAACTGTCATAAAAACTGTTATTAAACTGTTATAAAAGTTATAATATATAGATATAACAGTTTATAAATATATAAACATATATATCTTCATTATATGAAGTACATATATATCTGTTTATAATATATAATGATCTGTTTCCTTGAGTCATTTTATAACAGTTATATATAATATTTATATATACATTTATCCTTATATATATGGTCAGCTGACCATATCAAAGGAAACCAAAAGCAGAAACTTTTATGATCTATTTCCTTGAGCCATTTTATAAATTATATATACAATACAGATATATGTCTTTGTTTTATATATAATTTATAAATATTAGCTTTATATTATAGTTATATAGTTATATATAATTATAATTCATATTTAATCATAATTATATATAATATATAAATATATACTCTCTTGCAATTCTGTCTGCACCCATGGTCTTAGAGAACTATGTTGCTGATTCTTTGGTTTTTGGGGGGTTTTTTTGGCTTGTTTGTTTGTTTTGTTTTTTCAAGACAGGGTTTCTCTGTGTAGCTTTGGTGCCTTCCCTGGAACTCACTCTGTAGCTCAGGCTGGCCTTGAACTCACAGAGATCTGCCTGCCTCTGCCCGCTAAGTGCTGGGATTGAAGGCATGTGCCACTGTCACCTGGCCTGATTCCTTGTTATTAACTTGTCATCAACCCTAAAAACGGAAATACACTATTTTATGTGTAAATGTCCAGAGAAATCCTCTAGGAGTGGGATGGTGGGTGATATTTTTTAAAGTATTTTTCTATATTAAAAACACCATGAATTATGTTAAATCAAATCAGAAGAGATTTGAATGACAAAAGAAAAAACATAATATCACCCTCACATAAAGTCAAGACAACCAAACCTGGGTCTGGTTGCATAGGCCTGTCATCCCAACTGCTTGGAGGAGTGATCAGGAATAAGGAGCGTAAGTCTGAGACTTGCCTGGACTCCAGAGTGACTTCCTGCCCATCCTGCACAACTTAATGAGAGACCTTATCTCAGAATAAAAAAGGAAAAAGCACTAAAGATAGGGTCCATGGTGGTGCTTGCCTAACAAACATGAGGCCCAAGAGTCAAGCCTTCGACTAAAAAGAAAATCTGGCCAATAAAACCACTGCGTTTCAGTTACTGATACTTGTTGCACGAGAAAGAGGCATTCGGCACCAGGATCCAAAAGTTGCTGGTGACTAAGAAAAGAGGGAGGGAGGAAACAAGGAGGCATGGGTGTTCCTGCCTTGAAATCCCTCGGTGAGGAAGATAGTAATCTACCATGATGGCTGTTTCTGCTTTCTCGGGATTTAAGAGGTCAGTTATCTTCAGCATAGCCATTGAACATACATATGCCCGTTTGTATCAAATCACAGGATTATATTGTTCTCTGCGATTTTAAGAGCTCTCACCAAACTCAAAGGAGAAAAACAGTGAATTTATCAATAACTGCTGTGCCATGGCATTGCCAGGTTAGGATGGTTCATGCTTTGTCTCAAATAACTATGAACTGTGAGTAATCAATAGGTACAAAGCAAAAAACACTCTAAGTCTTGGAGTCTCAGAGAAAAAAGTAAGACAAGATTTATATTTATACTAAAGACACAGTAACCAAACACAGTGAAATAGAAAACTTCAAATTTCATTCTCAGGTTCTAAGGAGAATAATGAACTGTCATCTCAAGTCAAAATACTAAGTCTCAAAGGGGCAAGTCCCCTTATCATTAGATGCCAACTCCAAAGAGCAATGATCTTTTGCATACTTTTCACTGGAGAACTGTTATAAGGCATAAGAGCAGTGGAAAAAGTCTTTTTGCCAAGATTATCTCTCTTTCTGATCTAATCAAGACAGCAAGAGAATGTAAATTGTTTTACAGATGGAAGTAAATTTCTTCTTCCTGAGTGAGCAAGAGAGAGTTTGACAAAGAATGCTCCAATTAGCAGATGTTAGTGCTGGCAGGATGAGCCGTGAGTCCGCGGAGAAGACGGCAGGTGGCACATGTTCCCAAAGAAATAGCCCATGGCTACACTTCCACCTCCCTGCAAGGATGGGTTCTGATGGTGGAAGGCAGAATTCAGAGAAGAATGGCAGGGCTCCATCAGTGAGAAACAGATATGCAGAATGGCCACAGATGGCCATGCATGGAGCTGGCCGGTCTTGCTAGTCACATGTTTGATCCAGTCATGAAGACTCAGACCCCTATAAGAAGCAAAGGCTATAGATGGGTGATTTGCCAGAGAATCCTGTCTCCTTAAAGATGTTCAGATAATTCCAAAATTCCTTATTCTTATGGGGAATAAATAGTAAAGGAGTGGGGCTATCTATGAAACCAAACAGTCTGGAGCAGGGATTCAGAAGGGAAAAGACTCCCTCATCTCTCTCAGACAATGCCTCTCTGCAGGCTGGGTCCAGGATATCTATGTACATCCACAAACATGGATTAGATCTTCTGATGGAATCACCTAGGTTGGACTGGAGTTGTAGACTTTAACAGGGGTTGTTTTAGAACAAAAGGATTCCACCTTTTTACCTTCGTGGATGAGATACCTGCTCTCAAAGGAAACATGCTCCTGGACACCAAACAGACCACTCAGGTGCCAGGAAGCTATGGGTTTGGAGTCAGCTAAAGCATCGCTGTAGTACATCTGTCACAGAGAATGCCACACATGGGAGTACTTCAGACTTAGAGCAAGAAAAGACATGCCTCTCAAGAGAAAGGCTTCCCAAATTAAAGCAGTGTATCAGCATTGTGAGATGCACTGAGCAGGTGAAGGCAGAGCTGCTTCCCAGCCTGCTAGGAATGAGAGCCCTGATTAAAGGTCATGTCATGCTTCAGGTGCTGCCTCCTTCTGTTCTTCCTTTATCTCCACTAACTTGTCTAGTATCATGTGCTGGTGTCCCCCACACCCTTCCATTTCTTCCTCTTTTGTTTATAATGCCCTGCTCTCCCAGTGTGGTATTACTAAATAGCAAAGTGGGGTGGCTGTGTTGAGACATCTACATCCTCTCACCCTCTTCTTTCTTGGGACCACAGCTACACCCATCCCTAGACCAATCCACCCTCCCCCTGCAGCTGGAACCTGTAACTGTGGCCTAATTATTAGCATCCTGCTCTAACTGACTGAGTCAACAAGCTGGGAAATGCTCTTTTTCATCTGCAAAGTGTAATCACTAATTAGGTGACTTTCAGAGTTTCTGGAGCAGTTATTTAGGGGAAATTCTAAATCTAAAAGCAGAGGAAGGCAGGATGATGACCTGTGCTGGTAAGACCCAATGTGAAGCAACATAGATAGGCCCAGGACGGCAGCTGTACTAGAAAATTTAGGAAGAACATCTGCAAAAATGCAGAGAACACATTCAGGAAAAAGAACTTACTTCTAAGCAGATTTTTTTTTTTGTACCAGGTATCGAACCCAGGGCTTCATGTATGCTAGGTAAGCACTCTACCCTTGGGCTACATTACCAGACCCAGGCTAATTTCTTTTTCATTATTGCTGCTGTTATTTTGAGACAGGATCTCACAATATAGCCCAGGCTGCACTTAACCTCAGCCTCTTGATTGCTAAGATTACAAGTATGCAGGCCTGGAGAAATGGTTTAGTGGTTAAGATCACTGGCTGTTCTTTTTAGATTCTAGAGGAATCTAAAATTTAGAAGATACAGGTTCAATTCTTAGCTCCCACAAGGTGCTTTACAACTATCTGTAACTCCAGGTCCAAGGAATCGAACTCTCTCTTCTGACCTCTGCAGGTACTAGATATCCTTGCAAGAAAACATCCATATACATAATTTTTTTAAATTATAGGCATGCACCATCATATCAGGCTAAGATGAATTTCTTATTGAAAAAAATCATTTTCATATATATGGACAGCAGATGGACATAGTATCAAACTGATCTACTATTTATAAATTCCATCTCCTAGTAGTGAATAGTGGGATACCTGGGAAATCTGATGTGGATGACACCTTTACAGAATGATAATCATTCCACTACCTAGAAAGAGAGACTACAAAGTAGTTGGAAGTTTTCCTGTGTCCCGGCCAGCCAGTGGCTGGGACAAATCTCTCCCACTCGTGTCTCCCAAGTAAACACATAACTGCTTGGTCATTAGCTCAGGCTTATTACTGACTAGCTCTTACACTTAAATTAGCCCATAATTCTTATCTATGTTTAGCTATGTGGCTTGGTACCTTTTCTCATTCTGCCTTGTCATCTTGCTTCCTCTGTGTCTGGTTGCTGACTCCTGACTCAGCCTTCCTCTTCCCAGAATTCTCCTTGTCTGCTTATCCTGCCTATACTTCCTGCCTGGCTACTGGCCAATCAGCATTTTATTTATCAATCAATCAGAGCAACCCACATCCACAGCATACAGAATGACTTTCCACAGCACTACAATACTCTGCTGCAGAAACCAATGTTTGGTTTCTCATTCACTAAAACACATCCATTAGGAATGGTCTAGGTGATTGCACTGTAGAGCTGAGAAAACTCTTCCTGAGTATATAGTTCTAAATGAGAGCTTAGATTAAGGGATGAAGAGAGTTTCCCTTAAGTCTTTATTATTCCTCAAAGATGTCATTTGTCTGACCTTGTTTTTTATTTCTAGTGAAGGTCCTCAATGTGTCAATTTTTGTATAAAACAAAGTTGAGACCCTCAATGGGCTCAAACTGTTCAAAAGACACAACATTCAGAGAGAGAGAGAGAGCTGCTGACTTAATTGGGCTTAGGAACATAGAATAAGCACAGTTCTGAATTTTAAAACATAAGGGATATTGAAAGTCACTACCTTTGCCTTT